GAATTTTGGAGGACTTTTATGAAAGCTGGGGGCTGTGAAACAAGGAAGGGCTGGGAAAATGAGCCTAGGCTGGTCTGCTTTTGGCTCACTCAGAAATCCTAGAAAAGGGGGTCTTGGGGACAGGTTCAGGGGGTTTGCCTGGGACAAACTGCCGGTGCAGGTGCCCATTGCTGCCCTGGTTGCAGGCCTCGTGGTGTTCCTTAGAGTTTAGGAGATGCACGCCTGTGGGAGAAGAAGGGGAGGAGCGGGGAGGGCATGGGTGTGCTCCTGGAAGGGAGAGCAAGGGCTGGGGCCTTTGTCTTGAGGATTTTGTCTCTCTTGCTAGTGGGAATCTTAGGGGAGGTCTCAGGAGAGGGTTTCAGCTGAATAATCATCAGTTTTCTAGGTGTGCTCCTCCAGGGTCGTGTTCTTCACTGATTGGTCATAGTCCTGGCAAGGGGCCATTAATCACTGCAGCTGGTCCTGGTGTCACCCACCTGGTTTTGCTGCTTTTCTAGGCCTGGAGCTGAAATACAACTGAGGCCTAGATGTTATCTCCAGGGAGGTGACCTGTATCTGCTGTAAATTGCTCTTGTCAGTTTGCTTAGCTATCTGCCTCAGTCTCCCCATTCCACTTGTCCTGGCTTACTGGCCTCTTTCAACATGACCATTATTAGTTGCCATTATTTTTACTAGAGCTTGGCCGTGGAGATGGGAGAAATCTAGGCTTCCACTCTCAGAAGGAGTTATGACTAGAAATCAACATAAATTGATGGCACTGGGTAGGGACAAAGGGGAACAGATGTGTGCCACAATTGTCACCTTACAATGCTGAGCACCTACTGTGTCTGTCTTCACCGCCTCACATGTCGCTTGGGGGAGGCTTTATTACCCTTGACCAGATGAGAAGCCTGAGACAGAAAGGGTGTGGGGTGTTGGGCTCGCTCCCCTCCTGCACCAGTTCAGCTCTGTCTCCACCAGAACCCACTGTGACCTTGGGCAAATCCTTGACCCCTTCAGTTTCCCTACTGGTGGTGGTGAGGGTGCAGGTGCAGAGAGCTCATTTCGAGAGGTATCATGAGCACCAAGTTTCCTGCATTTAAAGTGTTTAAAATAATGTCAGTCTCTCCCCCTCCTCCAAGTTGTCTTCTTTTTGATGCCCAGGTGAGGGCTGGGAGGGGGCTGCAGGTAATAGTATTAACAGAGCACCCTTTTGAGCATTTACTCCCTGACTCGACCTGTGCTAAACTCCTTTCCTCCTTAATTCTCCCCAAACCCTAATCCCAGACTTCCTGGGCTGGATTGTCTCTCCTGGGTTCTCTCTCGTGGCCTCGAGCGCCCATTCCTTGACCAAGGTGCGGAGGCCCGGGAGGGGCTTCTCCGGCTGCCCCAGGGGCCTGCCCTTGCCGGGCTCCTCCCGGGCCTGCGGTAAGGTGAGGGCAGGGGCGGAACGGGGCGGGGCTGGGGGAGGGGGTTCGGCCCGGATTAGGTGACCACACTGGTCCGCCAGATCCCCACATCGTCCCATACCTGCCACCATCCTATGGGTCAGCTGCCCCTGTGCCAGCCAGTAATGCTGCCGCTGCTGCTGCTACTGGTACCCGGACTCCTGCCCAGCGGAGGTGAGTGAGGAACGCGCCCCTCGCAGGACCGAGGAGTTCCTGGGACTCCTTCAGCCCCCTCTCTGGGGCGGGGGCCAGGGTGGGGCCCGGGAGCCCTGCTCCCCACCCCTCTGCAAGAACTCCAACTCACCAGCCCTTCCCAAGGTCCCAGGAGCCCTACAGCCCCAAGCCCTCCTTTCTCTGGCTCACTGACACATTTCTTACCAGGTTTGCAAGAGCCTTGTCCCCCAGCCCTCCCCAAGAGCTTCCACTCATTCACTCCTCCCAGGGACCCAAAACTAGCCCAACCCTTCCCCAGGGGCTCAGTATCCTCCCCAGACACCCCATTCCGCTCACTGTAACCCTCTTCAGCGACCAGACCCTCCCCATCCACCTGGCCTGGGGTCCTGTGAACTGTTTACCTGTCCCTGGGGTCTGAGGTGGGACTACCAAGGGGTCACCAGAGGCTGGGAGGAGCCGGGGAAGAAGGGACCCAGCCCTACCTGGGGTCGAGGGAGAAGATAAGGTTGCCTTCTTACCCATCCCTAGGCACCACCCTTGGTGAGGTTCCCTCAGTGACTGCCCATTTCTGGGTTGCACAGGCATACACACTCACAGGGAAATATACAGACACCACGCTATACACATACACACCCCCAGCCTCACCTGGGCACTTAGGTATAGGGCTCATGGACAGGCTCACACACACAGACACAAGCAAAGATATCCCAAGAAACACACACACACTCAGGCCTATAGGAAGATAGGAAGCCTGGATAGCCTTGGCACTCCAGTGAGGCTGCCGTGGGCAGACAGAGCAAACAGACCCCAGAGTGACCTGCCCCACCTAAGCTGGCCTGGAGGAAGTGTTTTCCTTGTTTCCAAACCCAGTGCTGGGCGTCTGCCCCATGCCTGGGTTCTCCATAGGGCTGTAACCAGTACCCTAAGATGCCAGAGTGTGGTTAAGTCAGGGTGGGGGACCTCTGGGACGGCTGTGGGGTATAGAGCTAAGCCTGGGGCCCTGTCATATATGCTTAGACTGGGGCTTGGTGGATCCAGAGGTCAAGGGACCTTTTATGGAAGCCCACTGCATGCCAGGGGATCTGGAGCTGCCTGTGGCAGAGATCTGCCCTCAAAGAGCTCCCAGGCTGAGGGGTCTCTCCCATAAGCAGATAGCAACATAGTGTGACAGGGCCCCTGTGGTCATCTGAGGGTGAGGCAGATTTGAGGAGGTGACAGGTGAGCTGTGTGAGGATGGGGTGAGGGCACTTGCAGCGCAGGATATATGTGATGGGAACTGTAACTGGAGGAACAGGAAGTGATGAGCAGGATCTATGTGATAGGCATTGAGAGAGGACCCTGGGGCGGGGGAAGCCCCTGCAGGGCCTCTGGGCTGCAGTGAGGCCCCTGAACTTTCTCTGGAAGGTGGTGGGAGCCCTGGGAGGTTCAGGCAGAGGTGTGGGCAGCTGGGAGCAGCACTCGGCAAGTCCTGGGAGAGCGAGGACTGGTCATCCAGAAAGGAAGGTGAAGCTTTTAACTCTAAACTTGTTTTTTTACATTTTTTTTTTGTATTTAACTCATCTGTATTCCCCCACATGAATACGCTACTTTCTCCTCTGAGAAAAAACAAAATTGGATTTAATTCTGGTCTGTACTCTTCAAAAAAGTCAGTATAATAAAAACTTGTTCTAGGTAAAAAGACAAAAGAGACGTGATGATCAAAGGCAATCCATAGGTCTCTGGATCAGCAGTACCAGAGCAGTGGAGAGTGGACTCCCAGGAATCAGGCAGCCTGGGCGTGAGCTTCTCCCCTGAGGCTCACCAGCCCTGTGACCTGGGATGGGTCCTTTTGCTTCACCTTAGTCTCAGTCTCCCCATCTGTAAATGGGATGACAGCTGCCCACAAGACAAGGTGGCTATGCCATTGACAGCAGGTGATGCCTGGTGCAGGCAGAAGTTCAAGTGATTGCATCTCCTACTATTGCTCTGACTGTTGTTTTTGACCAAACGCCAGCAAGTAGACCCATTACCCTCACCATAAGGAGGGGTCGCTCTGGGATTCTCTGATGCCCAGGTCACAGTAGGTTTGCGGATGCCTGGCCCTGAGCAGTGCCCCCCTTCCTTGGTGCCCCTCTGCTCTTTCACCCTGGCAGGTCTCCTTCCCTTGCTGTTATTGGGTGAAAAGGAATGAACACTGGATTGGGAGTGAGAAGTCTGGGTCAAAGCTCCCAATCAACCAGGTTCTTGTTGGCCGCGTGGCTGTGGGAGTCATCCTTCCTGCCCAGGCCTCCTCTTTCTCACCTGTGAAAGGCAGGGGTTCCAATTACTCCTGCTGTGCACTGCTGTGTTAGAGCCATGACTGGGCTCAGGCCACAGGGCCTCCCTCTGTGGGAGGAAGCTGTGCCTGGGCAGTGAAAATAAGAGGAAATGTAAAGGGCCCTGAACCAGAGTCTTGATTAAGTGGTGGTGGTGGTGGGGAGAACCAGGGAAGCCCTCACAAAGGATCCCTCCTTGGTGGCAGGGACCCTGTTTAGCTCATCTTTGATGTCCAGTGCTCATTACAGGACAGACTTTTTCTTTTTTTTTTAAATGTATCTTTACTGATTTCAGAGAGAGGAAGGGAGAGGGAGAGAGAAATAGAAACATCAATGATGAGAGAGTCATTGATCGAGCCTGCAACCGGGCATGTGCCCTGACTGGGAATCGAACCCCGATCGCCTGGATCCCAGGTCAACGCTCAACCGCTGAGCCACGCCCGGCCAGGCCAGGACAGACATTTTATGCACAACTTGGACTCTGAGTGTGCCTGGAATTGACAAGGGTAGGACATTGGGAACCAGGGCATTCCAGGAAGAGGCCCAGTGGCATGACCTTTCAGATGCTGTGGCTCTGTGTCTTGTTTTCTCTTTCATGGCTGCCTTGAGGACATTGGTAATCATAGTTAGAGATTGCTATGTTCCAGGTGCTTTACATGCATGATCTCATTTCATTCTTTTTTTTTTTTTTTTAATATGTTTTTATTGATTTCAGAAAGATGGAGAGAGAGAAACATCAATGATGAGAGAGAGTCATTGATTGGCTGCCTCCTGCATGCCCCATATTGGAGATCAAGCCCACATCCCAGGCATGTGCCTTGACTGTGACCGCCTGGTTCATAGGTGGATGCTCAACCACTGAGCAACGCCGGCCTGGCTGATCTCATTTAATTCTATGAATTGAGGTACACTTATCCCCCTATTTTATAGATGAGGAAAACAAGGCACAAAGAGCTTGAATAAGTTGTTCAAGATCACTTAGCTAGGAAGTAGGAGGAGCAGGATTCAAACCCAGGCAGTCATCCAGGCTCTTCTCAGGCCAGTGACCTTCCCCAGGGCCAGGGAAAACCTAACCTTCAACCTTTAACCTTTGTTTTCCCCCTAGCCTCCTTGAAGTCACATGTGCATCGACGTGGTCTCGTAGAACTGGCAAAGACCATAGACTGTGTCGGCCCCCGCAATCCCCTGGTCTATATTAGCTATGGCTGCTATTGTGGACTGGGTGGCCATGGCCAGCCCCTGGATGACATTGACCGGTGAGTTCATGCTTGGGCCAGGCTAGAAGGTATCCCACCCTCTGGGGTAGTTAAGACCTATGAAGAAATAGCACATGGTACTACCTTGCAGGCAGAGGGTCTCCTGGGTAGCATCACCAATGAGGCCAAATCTTGATTCCAGCTGCATCCCTCACTGGCTATGGGATGATTACTTTGGCTGGAAAAAAAAATAACGAAGTTGAGCAGACTTAAAGTGTACCAGGAACTGTTCTGAGAATCCCTTTGAGTCCTCACAACAGTCCCATTTCAGAAATGAGGAAACTGAGGCACAGAAAGATTAAATAACTTGTCTGGCATCACATAGAGAGTAGGGGGTAGGGGCTGGGACATGAACCCCAGCAGTTTTACTGAGTTCATGGCCCTAATTGCTGCACTCTGCTACCATGTGAGAAGTGCCTGTTCTGTGCAAGGCTGCGGACTTATCTTTCCATGACTTCTCATTTACCCTCATGGCCAGCCTTGTAAACAGGCACAATGGCTGTCCCTGTTTTATGGACGAGGGCCCCGAGACTCAGAGAGGTGCAGCCATTCATCTGTTTCCACACAGCTAGCTGGTGACAGAGGACAGAATTTGACTGTCTCTTCCCTAGCTTGGAGGATGTGATTGTCATTAACAAGTCTTTACTCAGCCTTGCACCTTCAAGGCTCCTGCTGCTGGCCATGCCCTCCCACACTCTGGCTGTCCAGTTCCTGTACATCTTCCAGATGCAGATCAAGCATTACCCCCTCTAGGAAGCCTTTCTTGAAGCCCAGCTGGGCATGGCATCTCCTCTGCCTTCCAGAATCCCCTTTCCTTACCCCACATCTCAGCACTTCTCACTATGCATGTGGCACCTGGTGGCTTGTCTGCCTCCCCCACCAGACTAGGAGTTTCTTGAGGGCAGAGCAGAATCTGGCTGATCTGTCACTGCCAGACTCAGCTGAAGACTCAACACAGAGTGGGGATGGTGACTGGATGGAGATAATACCAGTGAATGAATAACGGGCAGGTTTAGGGACATTTGTGGGTGTTCCTCAGGGAATTTTTTCAACAGTAAATTATTATTATTATTGAAATCCTATTATGTGGTAGTCCCTGGGCTGAATGCTGGTGACACTGTGAGGAATAAGACAGAAATGGTCCCACATCTTAGAGTTCTGGTCAGTGAGGAGGACAGATGCTAATCTTCTCTCTAATGAGGATCTTGTTATAAACCTGCCCTGAAGGGAAGGAACCTGGTTTTAGGAGAGGGTGTAACAAGGAGACCCTCATAGCTGGGAGGTAGGGCACCTGATAACACTCTGGGAATGGGGGCTGGTGCTTAGGCTGAGACCTAAAAGAGGAAGCATCGGCATGCAGTTGTCCCACGCAGAGGACAAAGGTGGGAGGCAGGCTTGTTCTAGCAACAGAGGGGAGACCATTTCTGCTGGAGCTCAGAGACTCAGAGAGTGAAGCAGGCAGGGGCCTGGCTCGAGCATGGCTAGGGATGGGGGCAGTGCAGGACACACTGGGGTCAGTAGAATTATTTCCCAAGATAGGATTCTCAGGGACAAAGTTTGGATCAAAAGATGCTCACCCATAGTCCTGGCATGGGAAGATGGCCAGGAGAGCAGCCCTGCTTCCACCCACCTGATGGTCTGCCTGTCTGCCATCCACAGGTGCTGTCATCGTCATGACTGCTGCTACCGACATGCCAAGTTGGAGGCTGGCTGCAGGGCCAAGCTGGAGTCCTATTCCTGGAAGTGCATCGATCAGCGCATTGAATGTGGTGAGTCCCCAGCAACACCCACTCCAACCTCCCCAAGAGTCCCGAGGCATCCTGCTCGTAATGACTTACCACTGCTTCCAACTCCCCGTAGACCACCCTTTGGACTGATTGAATGTAAGTGGTCTTTAATCCTGAGCACTTAAAAAATAAGCACACCCATTTCTTTTCTGTCTTGTCAAAAACTGGAAAAGACAGAAATGACACCAGATATAAACTACCTAAATGTCCATCAGATGGGGCCTGGGTATGTAAACCCATGATGTATCCTTACTGTAGAAGACTCTGCAGCCTGGAGAAAGGATAAGGTGGAACCATATGCTGACATGGAAAGATGCTGAGCGAACAAGCAAACTGCCGAATGGCATGTTCAATAAAGCACCATTGTGTTAAAAAGAAAGCTTGCAAATAGTACCATACTGCTTTCCATAGCTACATGTAGACATTTGCAAAGCTCAGAGAAATGTAAGGATACGCTCCAAACTGAGGATGGCTGTGGTCACCTCTAGGGACAGAATCAGGCTGAAGGGAGTGATGGTAGAAGGCAATTTCCCGTTCTCTATAATGTTGCCATTTTTTACAAAGAGCATTTCTTCATGAATTACTTGTGAATTAAAAGTTAAAAAGAAAAGGACTATACAGCCTGATGTGATCTCTGCAAATTACTTTGACATGCATCAAAACAAAATAAAATAAAAATGTGGATGGGTGATGGATGAACAGATTACCTTCCGATGGATGGAATTTATCAGTGGGGGTGATCAGTGTATCTCGTTGTGGTTTTGATTTGCTTTTCCCTGATGACTTTGAGCATCTTTTCATGTGCTCTTTGGTCACTTTTATATCTTTGGGGAAATGTTTATTCAAGTCTTTTGCTCATTTTTTATTGGGTTGTCTTTTTTGTTGTTGAATTATAAGAGTCTTTTACCTATTCTGGGTACTGTACCCTTATCAGATGCACAATTTACAAATATTTTCTCCCATTCCATAAGTTATCTTTTCATTTTCTTGATAATGTTTTTATGTACAAAAGTTGTAATTTTGATAAAGCTCAATTTTTCTATTTTGTCTTTTCTTGATCACATCTTTAGTGTCCTATCTAAGAATCCATTGCAAGATCCAAGGTAATGAACGCTTACGTCCTGTTTCCTTCTAATAGTTTTATCATTTGAATTTTTACATTTAGGTCATTGATCCACTTTGAGTTAATTTTTGTATATGGTATGTCATCGGGGTCCAACTTCATTCTTTTCCATGGGGCTATCCAGTTGTCCCAGTACTGTTTGTTGAAGAGACTCTTTTTTCCCTTGTTGAAAATCTCTTGGCCCTAGATGGATGACCTCTCTGACCTCAGTTTCCTTATCTTGAAGATGGGTGTTGCAGATTTGAAAAAAGGGTTTATAATGTGATAAACAGATTGGACAGGTTATTTCTCTCTCCCATCTTCTCTCCTCCCTCCCTCATCCTGATCTGAACCTCTCTCTGACTGCACTACCTCCCACTAAAGAGAACTGAGGTTCTGGTGCGACTTTCCACTAAAGCCCTAGCTTCTGCAGCGTGGTCTGTTCTGGAGGAAAGGAGGCAATCCTAAGAGTTACTAGAAGGATATGCACAGATCCTCAGCCATAGCTACTCCGTATGACTTAGGAGCTGGCATAAGAGCAAAGCTGACTTAATATTGAGACATAATATTAATGTTTAGGACCAAAAGTGCCCCAGACATCATCTCTTACAGCCCTCTCATTTAGAGTTGGGGAAACTGAAGCCCAGGAAAGAAGTGAGTTGCCTAACATGGTGGTGATGTGCCTACTCCTGGGCACATTCCCTGTATCCAAACTGCCCCCTTCCGGTGTTGGTGGGGAGGAGGTGAAATGGGCCTTGAGTTGGAAATCTGTTAAAGATCTTCCCCTTCTTCCCTTCAGCTTGCCCCTAACCATGTGAAAATGGAGTTTATTGGTGGAGTCTGTGCCTGTTTACAGAACTGCCCTCCCTGAGCCAAACGAAGGGAACCAAAATATCTATTATGCATTTTTGACTAAAAATATTCTCTTATTCTGTTTGGAGATATTCTGAACATAGTTGTTTATTTAATTACAGGTGTGGCCCATTTTCCATTTATGGGCCTGACTTAAATATATTTTAAAAATTTTAAGCCTATAATAATATTTACTGGCAGGCCTTTATTTTAAACTTAACCCTTAGGAGCTATTTTTCTTTTTAAGTTTTTATTATTTTTGAATAGCATGATGCTGCTGGGTTCCTGAGGCTGTGGAGCAGTGAGACCAAGACTTGCTTTTAAAAGAATCTTTCTCGCCCTAGCAGGTTTGGCTCAATGGTTGGAGAGTCGACCCACGGATTTAAGGGTCCTGGGTTCAATTTCGGCCAATGGCACGTACCTCAGTTGCAGGCTCGATCCCCGGTATGAGTCGGGTTGTATGCGGGAGGCAACCAATTGATGTATGTCTCTCACATCGATGTTTCTCTCTCCCTCTTCCCCTTCCACTCTCTCTGAAAAGCAATGGAAAAAATATCCTGAGGGGGGTCAAAAAGAAAGGAAGAATCTTTCTTGTTCAGAGAGGAGGGTAGGAACACAAGGGAGGTACAGGCGCTGGGTCAGGAGATCCTGGGCAGGAGTCGTGGTCCACCCCCCCAGCTCTGTGGCCTTGACAAGTTACTGAATCCCTTTGAGCCTCACTTTACACGTCCTCAAAATGGGAATAATGAAACTTAGATGCTGTGTTTGTGTGAGAATTGGAAATGATGTATGGCTTTTCTATATTCTCCCAGGAAGTATTAGTGAGAATCTACTCTGTGCCAGCCTCCATGCTAGGTTTTAGTTAAGAAGAGAAGTTTAATAGGAGGAGAGCAGGAAATTGTGTCTGTGCCAACTGCTTTTATAACCGCTGTGTTGGAAAATAAAGCAGGTGAAGTACTATACCTGACAACATGGATGAACCTTGAAAATGTGGTGCTAAGTGAAAGAAGCCAGACACAAAAGGTCACTTACTGTGTGGTTCCAAGTATATGAAATATCCAGAGTAGGCAAATCTACAGGGACAGAAAGCTGATTAGTGGTTGACAGGGACTCAGGAGAAGGGTAATGGGGAGCAACATCTTAATGTGTACAAGGTCTCTTTTGGGTGATAGAAATGTTTTGGAAGATGCCAAACAAGGTCTTTTTTGGGTGGTAGAAATGTTTTGGAGGGGATGGTTACACAACATTGTGAATTTACTAAATCCCACAGACTTGTGCACTTTCAAATGGTAAATTTTGTTATGGGAATTTTTCCTCAATAACAAAAGCAAGGATGCAGGGTGGGGTTATTCTTTTATATTGAATGGTCAGGTGTCCAAGAAGCTCTCACTGATAAGATGCCACTGAAGCAGAGATTTGGGGAATGAGGGAGCCACGTGACGAGCTGGTAGGAATAAATGTCTGGGTGGTCTGAGGAGCGCAAGGACGGCGAGGGTAGGGCAGGGTCATTTAGGATTATGTCAGGGGTGGAGGACAGATTCCACAGCGTGTGGGAGGCTTTCCTCCGAGAGAGATGGGGAGCCAGGGAGGGTTTTGAGCAGAGGAGAGACATGGTCTGATTTGCATTGAAACTGAACCACTCAGGCTACTGCGGGGTCCTTACCTTGGAGGGAGCAAAGGTGGAAGCCAGGCACTGGTTATGAGGCTGCTGGAGTGGTCTTGGTGAATGGTGGCTTGGGCAGGTGGTGGCAGTAGATGTGGTGGATGGGGCTGGCTTCTGGGCATATTGGGCTGGAAGGTGGCACTGCAGGACTTGCCGATGGATGGGTGAAGGGAGAGGAGCTAGCTGGCGTATTTGTCCCAGTCACCCTGTCCCAGTCCCAGCTGGCCTCTAGCCAGCTCTGTGGGAACAGTGCCACCCTGGAGCTTCCATGGCTTCTTCCTCAGGAGCCCCTACCCCATCAGGTCACACTGCTCCGAGGGTGCCCATGTCTCTTGTGCAGCAGCCCGCGAAAAATTTACAGGCAGAAGGGCTCACTCCTGCATTGGCTGGTTCTGTTACCAAATTTTACACATTGTCAAACCATGTATGGCTGAAAACAACTGGTCTCTGGCGTGGATGTGTTTTATTCTGATCAAGTCCCCGTCAGCTGCTGAACGTAATTGCACGACCATGGCTGTTTATAAATCTTTGTGAACTCGTGTGAGAGTTTTTGTAACATTGAATCCTAGAATTGTTGGGTCAAATAGCATATTTGAGGCACCTCTAGAATTAATATGTAGGAAGGGCTGCCCCCAGCCTGAAGGGTGCTAGAGAATTTATTTACATGGGAAGGGCATTTAAAAATGTAAGTTGTGTTTATTTGTAGAGGGGCTGGGGTTAAGGTTATGGAGGGGGAAGTTCACGAAAGCCCCCACACGCCACTTCCTTTCGGCACTGCCACTGAGCAGTATATTTTAAATCTAACAGATATCATAAATAAACCTTGGAATAGCTACTCTTCAAATTTTGTTGATATTGCTTTTTCCATGATGATAGCATCATATGGCTCAAAGTAGAAAAGTTTGGATTACAAAATGTACAAGTTTTATGGGAATACAACTCCCGTATACACCATACAGACAGCTGTTTGGTAAACCTTCTGGTGTTCGTCTTTTCCTAGCGCATATATATAGTTTTTTAATATAGCAGTATGCTTTGTACCCCTTCTTCTTCTTTTAAGCATGTTTCCTACATTGTTAAGACTCTATTAGGCACTGGCCAGGGTAGCTCAGTTGGTTTGAGTGTTGTCCCGATACGCCAAGGTTGTGGGTTCGATCCCCAGTCAGGGCACATACAGACTCAACCAATGAATGCATGAGTAAGTGAACAATTGTGTTTTTTCCTCCCTCCCTCCCTCTCTCCAAAATCAATTTTAAAACTATTTAAAATCCTCTTGTATAAACATGAATTGCAAAGGCAGGCACATCCCCAGGATTGCCATCTCATTCCCTTTGAGTCCGAACATTGGGCAGGACTGGGCTGGGGGCCTGCTCTCCTCTCCCGTTCCTAGATTTCTTTTCTGTAAGATTGGGGTGCCAGTGGCACCACCCTGAGTACTGGATGAGATGGGGACCATAGAGCCCTTTGCCCAGTGTATGGCTCCGCATAACTAATTGCACAATAAACGTTAGCTCCCATCATCCAGACTTTTTATTATTCATTTTCTTGAATTATAACCAGAGGAATTTGCAGTGTTTAAACACAGGTTTGGAGTTTGTGTCTTGCTCTCCCTCCCAACTGTTTCCCAGAGTGTGGGAAGCTTAATAGATGAATTTAAGTGAGAATTTCCCTTTCAGCCCTGTTAATTTTTCCAATTACACAAGAAGGAAGTGTCAAGTGTGTGATGGTTGACTACTAGAGAGGTTAAACCTCTCTTACACTGCTTATCTCCCTTTTTTTAAAACCAAGCACCCCAATTTGGGGGGTTACAGCCTTCAGGTAGGCAACAGCATTTAACTAGACTTTGATATTAAAACTTGATCTCACTGGTTATTTTTGTTTAATCAGTTTCTTATATTTATGGTATAAAATTTTGGTTTTCCATTTATGGCAGTGACAGAATTTATTTAATGTAATTTAATACCATTTAATATATTTATTTAATAATTGACTTACTATTAAAAAATGAGATTTAGCCCGGCCAGGCGTGGCTCAGCAGTTGAGCATCGGCCTAGGATCCAGGCGATCAGGGTCGCCTTGGGTTGCGGGCTCGATCAATGACTCTCTCATCATTGATGTTTCTATCTCTCTCTCTCCCTCGCCTTTCCTCTCTCTGAAATCAATAAAGATATATTTAAAAATAATAATAAAAAAATAAAAATAAATTAAAAATGAGATTTAAAGCAATAATCTTTTAGCTGCCATAGGCCTGAGTTTGGACAATCCTGTGTGCAGTCATATAGACCAACACAACAGGGCCTGGAAAGACGGTTGCCAGAGGGTGTGGGCCCCCTGCTCAACACCTTCACTCATAATTGTGTCCCCTCCTGGTGTGGCCAGGCTCTTGTGGGTATTGCCTCAAGAGAGAAGCTGATGGACTTTCTGACTCTCAGGCTTCCCCTTGCTAGCCTCTCTAAGGAACGTGTGCATTTGAAGAAATCTTTATAGATTAGCTGGCAGCTTGAGGTCAGCTTCAGCCTACAGAGTGCCTCCTGTACCCCCATTCTCCCAACTGCCCTTAGAAATAGGTACTATTAGTATCCCCGCATTGCACCTGAGAAAAAAGCCTAAGAAAGATCAAGTGATGTCTAAAGGCACATTGAGAAGCCAAAAGGCCAAATGGACTTTGGACTCAGCATCTGAAAACACTTCTCTGACAACTTCAATTCCCTTTTCTGCAAAATGCGGCCAACATCACCTCCCTCCTGGTGCTGCCCAGAAGATGGAAATCACGTGTACCGTCAGGTGTCACAAAGATGCATTTGATGGCCCCTCCTGCCAACAGCATTACTGCCTTCCCTCATGTTTATCCTCAAGTCTCTGCAAGTCTGTGCTCTAACCTCAGGTTTCCCATTTCTTCTAGGACCAACAGAGGACAAATGTCAAGAACTCTTGTGCAAGTGTGACCAGGAGATTGCTTACTGCTTAGCCAAAACTGAGTACCATTTAAAGTACCTCTTCTATCCACGTTTCTTATGTGGGCAGGACTCACTCAAGTGTGATGACTAGTTTGACTTGGAATGTTCTTTTGCACAAGGAAATAAAACGCCTTTTCACTAACAGCAGCCATATTAAGTTCACATTCCGAGGGGAATTGAGTTAAAGTGTTAAAAGCTGCAACCTGTGTTTGTTCTCTCTGTCCCCGAACTTGGGGCTGGAGTCTGTTGGATTTCCAGTTAGACTAAGGTCAAAATCCCATGCCTATTTATAAAACCATGACTGTGTTTATGACTGTATTGGGTTTGGTACCATTTCTGAGGTTCAACCGTTATGAAAAGGCTGAGCTTGTCTTCTAACCTGTTCCTGATGAACAAACACCTGCTAAGTGCCTGGCCTTGTCCTAGGTTCTGGGTTGAGGCAATAAACAAGACAACCACATGACACTGGCCCTTGTGAAGTTCAAGTCTAGCAGCTGTTAGCTCAAGAAAGAGTATTCTTCCCCATCCTACTCCACCTTTATGGTTAAAACTTATTTCCTGATTACAAAAGTATTACATATTTACTGCTTTTAAAAAAGAGAGCAAATACAGAGAAATATAAAGGAGAAAAAAATTACTGGAACTCCCACAGACAAGAATAACCACTTTCAGCATTTTAGTGTGCTGTCCATCAGTCTTTTCTGTAATTTTATTTTATTTTATAATCCTCACCCTAGGATTTGCTTTTCAGAGAGTGGGAGAAATATCAATGTGAGAGACATTGATTGGTTGCCCCTGCCCCCCAGCATGCACCCCGAATGGGGGCCAGGGATTGAGTCTGCAACCGAGGTATGTGCCCTTGGCTAGAATCAAACCCAGTACCCTTCAGTCTGCAAGCCGACACTCTAACCACTGAGCCAAATTGGCCAGGGCATTTTCTAATTTTAAAAAATGTAGCTGAGTCCTGGCTGGTGTGGCTCAGTTGGTAGGGCATTATCCCTTGCACCAAAAGGTTGCCAGTTTGATACCCAGTCAGGGCACATGCCCAGGTTGTGGGCCTGATCCCCACTAAGGGGCGTGCGGGAGGCAGCCAATCGATGCTCCCCTCTCCCTGCCTCTCTAAAAATCAATAAACTGTCTTTTTTTAAAAAAGAGTTGAAACTTATTTTACAATTTTCATAACTTTTCTCCATGTCATTAAAAAATCTTTGGGAACTCCATTTTAAGTAGCTATATTAGATACCAGTTTATAAATCGCTCACTTTAGAACACTGGCGGTGTTTCCTATTCTGATCAATTAGACACCCCTTTCTGACGCATGTAAGCCTGCTACGATTGAGGTCAGAGGGAGGAAAGGCAGCTGTGGCCCTGGCTCTGAAGTGCCTGTCCCCGCTGCTGGCAATAAGGAATGAAAGTCCAGCCATACCCACATGCTCTTGGTCAGGTCTCCTTTGCTTTCCCCTGAGCAGATGTGGGTATCACTCATCTTTGTAACAGGATGTGGGGAGTGTGTGGGACACTGGACTAGGGGTCTGGTAACTGTGGTCCAGCCATGGTCCAGCGCCACCAGTGCCACCCAGCCTCCATCTCTTTATCTGGGAAGGAGAATGGTAACCACTCAAGGCAGGAGACCAGTGAAGTGCAAATACTGCAGTGTCCCCAAACCCGCAGTGCGGTCAGTCAGTGTCTCTGGCTGGGTGTTGAGCGGGTAAAGTCAGGCAGTCCTGGGGCCTGATGAGCAAACGCAGGAAGAAAACATTCTCCCTCCTTTCACTTAAGGTACCTTAGGGTGACTCCCTGGCTCAATGTTCCCATCAGGCAGGGGGACTTCTGCATGACTAGTAGGTTGTATTGAACAATTCAGATTTTCTACATGTTTTCTAAACAATTTTTTTTCTATAGAATTTTTGTCTTCATAAAAAATCTTTTTATTTCAAGTAATTTCTTCAAACTTTCAGATGCAAAGTTTGAGTGAAATCTTCCAAAATACAAAGGATTAATGAACGGTTCATGGAGTCACAAACCCTTTGGATGCAAGCTTATTTCTGCAGGGTCCATCTTCAGATGGATCACACTTCACACCTGCTGTTTTCACACTAGAAGGAAATAAGAGGCATAGTTCACCTCATTCATATTTACAATTACAGCATTTGGTGTAATTATTCTTGCTGTTTTATACATCAGAACAAGATGATAAAGATTTTACAGTGTGAGGTCAATGTATAAAATGCTTCATTGAACAAAAGGACTATCCTGGATTTTACAGATTAAAGTCTTAAAAACAAAACAAAGCAAACCCCAAAACAAAACAATTTTTAAAATCCTCACCTGAGGATATGATTTTTGTTTTTTATTGATTTTAGAGGGAGAGAGAGAGAAGCATCAATGTGAGAGAAACACTGATCAGTTGCCTCCAGTACAAGCCCCGACTGGGAATTGAACCTGCAGCCTTCTGGTGTACAGGACGACACTCCCAGCCACCCAGCCAGGGCCAAAACAATTTTAAGTAGCATTGAGGCAGCTCAGCCTGATATGAATTATCATCTGATAATATCCTGACATCCTACTCAATCCCCTCACTCAGAGAAAGGGATCCAAACTTTCACTGATTAGAAATTGGAAACAGGATGAGTCTAACCATCATTCTAGTCTTAAACTGAATCCTTTAGATATTTATCTCTTTAACCTCTTAGCAACTCTTCAATAAAACAATTGTCTATTGGGTTTTGGTTTTCCTCTGTATTTTTTAGGCGCAACTGTCTATGCCTATGACATAATCTTCCATTTTCCTAAACTTGACTTAGAGGAGAGGCCTGGCCCCAGCAAGCCTGGTGTTGGGCTCAGTCTCAGGACTCCAACTTGCCCTGGGAGCCTTTGTCAGTCACTGGGGTTAGGGCAAGTAGGACTGCTGACATGGCAGCCTTATGATGTCACCCATACCACATCCTCTGGGGACCCTAGGTCCTTGCAAGCCATAGTGGACTGGGCCTCCCAAGTTCCTGTGAGCAAGGCGGCAGGTGAGAGGTGCTGCTGCTGTGTCAGCCCAGCTCTGGGGTGCCAGTCCCTGCTGCCACAATGACACAGGCAGAGGGAGACCTGGGTATAGCCTTTGACAGAGAAAGCAGCACCTTGTTTACTACGGAAAGAAAATAGGAAGTCCACTCCCATCCCCCCTTCACTTAAGCATCAAAGCTCAGACGTCAGGGAGGCTGGAAGAGTCCCTCAGAGCCTGGGCAGTGCCACTCAAAACACTTGGGTTTCTAGTCGTCGGACTTCCTTGACCACAAGATCAATGTTAATAATTGGGTTAAAGTACAGGGCCCAGTAAAATAAACAGTTGCAAACAAACTGAGGAATGAGGGGCCAGAACATGGCCACAAAAAGCCCCTGTGTTGATACTTTCCAAAAATGGCTCCACATCCTCTGAGGCACAGTCCTGGAAAAGAAGAGAAGCATTTGAGAGGTGAAATTGTGAAGGCAATTCTACAGACAAAACCAAAGTGCTCAGCCCTGGGCTGTTTCCCATTGCAGAGTCAGGTTGCCTGTACCGCAAAGACCTTGTGTTCTGTCCCCATTGTCTGAGACACACCTTTGCCTGCCCAAGCTATCTTCAACTCCCAGGGCGCAGTCTAGAGGGTGCTTCCCTTAGGGCACTATCCACACCAGGTGAGGTATCCCCATTTCAGCCCCAATCCCACCTGCTTCACTGCTGTGTCACATTTGTATATATTTAATATACATATTTTCTCTGCTAGGCTGTAGGCTTTCAGAGTGCAGACTGTCTTCTTTACCAAAAGATCTGCAGTGCCCGGAAGAAAACCAGGGGCAAAGCAGGGGCTCAATTAACTGTGCACAAAGAAATGAGTTTACTGAATTGAAACAAATGAGGGAGATTCCTGTCAGGTTCTCAGAAATATTTATAAGGTTGCTCCTGATTGAAGCCAAGAACCTTTTGAGTTATAGGATGTTGCAGACTTCAAGGGTACTGGTGTGGTGATGTGTTACTTCTGCCTGCCAAGCAGCCACCCTTTCTTCTGGAAATACCTTCTAAGTTTTCCTTTAGGGTGCCTCCCTCCCCTATTCTTTTCCATGTGGTCTGGGTAGAGCTGAAGCCAGCCCCTGGTTGGGGGGATGAGTGCATGCCTTGAGCCTGGACAAGAACTCCGCATACCCCTGTACTAAGTGATGGGTTCGGGTGAGCATGTGACCCAGGCTGGGCCAATCAGAGCAAAGGCACGTGAGCCCTGAGACTTTCATAGGTACTATAGGGAAAGAAGTACTCTCCTTCCACAAAGGTTGCTAAGCTGCTCAGATCTATGTCTGGAGTGAATGAAGGCCCCCACATGAAGAGAGCTGCCTGAGGCTGAACCACACAGGAAAGGGAGAGCTGCAAGAAGAAGAGCTGCAACAGTCAGTCCTGACGATAGCATTTGGGTCTGTCTCTGGGTCCAGCCACGTACGAAGCCTAAACTGGGCATTTCCCTTTTTAGGAAAGCCAATTTAGGTTGGTTTCTGTCACTTGCAACCAGGAGTCTTAATTCAGTGACTGTCTAGTCCAACTCTCATTTTATGCATAAATCCAGAGAAGTTATTACTGTTCCGGCTGGTGACAGAGCAGGACTAGAACTCATGCCACGGGATTCCTAGTCAGATCTCTATTCTCTATCACAATGCTATTTGCCATAAAGTAACCCATTTTCCCACTGGTTTATTCTCTATTAAAATCCTTCATGTACCCCTTCCACCCCCAGGAATCACACGGTAGATTACGTGGGGATAAGATCATGGAGAAGCACTTCAACAATGGGCACCATGAAAACCTCCCCACTCCCCCAAACACAAGGTAATTTTTCCTATTTGCTGCTTAAGTTGGTGTTTTGAAACCAGAGCACAGGAGTCTTCGTGCCTGAGTAATACTTCAAAGATACTCTTCCCAGGCTCTGCTGCCCCACCATCTCCAACAGAAAACACTCACTTCAGTTCACTTCTTGACCAGATCCTCCAAAAGGAGAATAACTCCAGAACCGAGAGTAACATGGCGTTGACGATGAGAAACCGCGACGTCCAATAATGGACCTCCAGCCAGTCCCAGGCAAACTCGGCGATCAGCTGGTACGGAAGGAAGGAGTATTTGACAAGGAATTCTCTCCACTGCTTCCATGTGGGCTCTCTAAGATCCTTTAACAATAACACACAAACAAGTCAAAATGGACACAAAAAATTATGAGGATTGACTTTTACACAAAATATTGTGGTTCTCCCAGGGAATTTTACATTTATTAAAACATACACACACAATCTCAAATGAAATTTCCATCAACTCACCTTGAAATTTTCTTACATTGGCTAAATGTTACCAAAGAGGTTGAACTGAGATGCTTGTTACATAATTGTGGAAGTTCAGAAATAAAAATCTAAGCATGAATTACAAAATATGGGATTGAAATGAATCGAAATGAATAATTTTTAAATTTCTTCATCACTTCATATGTAGCTCAGTTTCCTAAATTCAACAACTTAGCTGTGGTAAAATGATAACAGCTCATGGAAAAATTAAACACAAACCTTGAAAATAGCTTTTGGGAAAATAAAAACTTTAATTACAGATATTATCAGATAATTATCAAAAGTATTTAAACAGCTCATAGGCATCTAGAAGCTAATGGAAGTTCAGCAAGACTGTGCACAATGGAGCAGTTACTGAGTATTCCAAGAGACAAGCGAGCCTGATGAGCGGACGGGGGTTGTCGGGCCTTGTTAAAATGGAAAGGTCAGGTGGGTCTCTGTGCTCCCAGTCCAGCAAGGGTAGGTAACAGCTGGAAAGTGGTATTTAGAAAAACATTGTACAAAGGGGCTCATCAGCAGGCTTTAAACTACATCCAAGGTTGAAGTCAATTAGGCAGGTAATTGACTAAAATGTTAAAAAAAGGCTATTAGGAGATTTAGGAATTGTATTTCAACATTTATGGATGTGGGTCATATATGACAATTCCTATATCCATGTGACTTTTGATATAAACAAATCAGAGGGACTGCCTGAAGAGCAGCGATGCAAAGGACAATGTACCCTCAAATGACGAACTAGACATGAGAAATCACCCTTGGTCAATGGGGTCTAATAATTCTGAAGGATCCATGGGTCAAACTGAAGAAACAAGACCCATGGTGGGTAACCATCTCAGGTGACAAGAGGACTCCCATCAGTGAGCTGGATGATGGCTTACTACTGTTCCGAGGCCAACAGAACAGATACCCTTGCCTTGTGGTAAGACAAGTAATCATCCTTTGGGGATCCTATTGAGACACAGATTACCAAGCTGGCAGACCTATAAATCTAACCTTCAGGCAATTCAGACCTAGCCTATCTTCTTTTATAACAAAAGAAATGCTGTCCCCCCCACCTAATTATTTCAAGTCTAGAGGGCAGCCCTCCTTGCTATGCAATGTAGGAACTAAAATAGGCTTCTTGGATTGGAAACGTTCCTTCTTTCTTTTCTTAGGTAGGGGGTCTCCTTACAAAAATCCAAATAAAAGTGGGTGTTGTTTGCTCTTCCATGACAGGCTCCAGTTCCATACCACACTGAGAAATGGTAGACTAATCTCATTCAAGGCACTCTGCAGACCTACCAGAAGCTTGGCGATGATGTCCTCCCCGGAGTTGTCTTCTTGCAAAGGGCAGATGGTGTGGATGAAGGGTAGGAAGGTGTCTGTGTAGTCAAACAGGTAGAGGTACAGCAGACCGAGTCTGGGGGAACTCCTGAGGGCATACAGCAGGAACAGGGACCTGCCCGGGTTCACAGCCTGCAGGTGAAGTGGGCGCAAGGCCACATTACAACTATGACAGCCAGCTCCCACCTATGCTCCCTCCGCAACCTCACGCCCTTTGCCATCAGCCTTTTTTGTGTGGTTTGCATAAACAACGAATGAATGAATGGCAAGAAGAGGCTAAGTAATCTCTGGGCTATATTATATAAAGATCCAATCTCTCTCCACAGCTAGGGAGGGGAACGGGGTGAGAAGCATACTCCGAGGCACTACTAGTAGAACACCACCATTTTAGAAAACAATCTTGCAAAATATATCAGTCTTAAAAATGTCTAATTTAACCAATCTATTAGTGGGCACTACTTAAACATAATCTGAAGTACAGAAGGTCTTATGCACAAAATGCCTGGTGTTGCATTGTGTATGAGAGAGAAAAAGTAAAATCTGTGACCTAAGTAATGAAGTTACAGTAGATATTTAACCACTGAAAAATGAATATGAGAAATTTTGGATAATGCTCATGACAAAATGTTAGGTGAAAAAAAGATTCAAAGATGTGTAGCAATCCGATCTCAACAGTGTCAGCACCATGAAAGTAAGGCCTTGTTCAGGGCTGAGGTCCTTTTCCTAGGGGAATACCTGGGTCACACCAGATGTCAATAAGCATTTGTGGAATAAATACACAAACAAATGGACTGTTTAAACTGCACAGAAAATCGTCTAGAAGAAAACAGAGCAAAATGCAATGTTAATCATGTTTGAATCTCAGGTGGGATTATTGCAATTTATTTTCCTTAACTTTTGTAAACTTTGCTACATTAAATGTGTATTCATATTTTTTCTGATTATAAATGTAACTGTAAACTAATTCAACTTACTTGATGCTACTAAGAATCAAATAAAATGGGCAAAATACATGAGTGGACATGTCACCAAAGAAAATATAAGGGTGGCAAATAAGCATATTCAAAAATGCTCAATATCACTGGTCCTTAGAAAAAGGCAAATTAAACCAGTGAGACACTACTTTTTAGAATGGGGAGGAGTGAGAAGGAGGGCTTACAAAGAGGCAGGAGGAAACTTAGGAGTGATAGGTAGCTTCACTATCTTTTTTTCTTTTTTTGTGGGCACCAGGACCTATGATCACCAGCTGCCCAAGAACCAAAAAATTATGCTCCTGAAATCTCTTGATGTCAGTTCTGCATGCAGAGCAAGCAAGCTGCTCTACGTGTGCACTCATGACAGAAACCCTTTTTTAGCTTCACTATCTTGATTGTGGTGATTTCATAGGTGTGTACATACATCAAAACTTATCAAATTGTACACTTTAAATATGTGTATGTTAACTATAGCTCAGTAACACTTAAAACATTTAACTGATTTGATGCTATTAATAGCTTACTATTAAATTGTTTTTAGCATGATAATGATTACATTTAAGAAGAGCCCTTCTCTTTAGAGATTCATACTAAAGTATTTATGGGTGGGATAATATAATATTTGGTTATGCTTTAATCAAATCTCAGGATTGTGGGTGTGGGGAGGGTGTGAAGGGGGAGGAGTGATATTAGAATGCCCATAAGTCAATAGTCATAGAAGCTGCGTACCGGTACACTCTACCCTCGATTTTTGTATATACCTGAAGTTTTCTATAGTAAAAGATTATTTTTAAAAGGTCCAACTTGTGAAATGATTCCAGAGGACAGAAAAGTATGAGAGTAACTTGAACATCTTGTCAGTGAGAAAGGAAAGGCTTAAAGACTAATGAAGTCATATTAAAAGGGTTCACTAGCAAGCACATTATTCTTTAATGCAAAAGTTCAATTTAAAAAGTAGACTCAGAAAATAATTTGAGGAGATCCTACTAAAAAAAGATGGAACAATTTGAGCATCTATTAGAATAACTACTGAAATGTATTCACACACATCACGAATGTTAGAACCTTCCGTTAGAAATTGGTCACCTTTGGAGGATAACAGGGAGCAAATCATCCTCCTGAAACTGGTAAATAAAGGGAAAGCAGCAAGTACTTAAACTTGGCTTTCGGGTACAAACTGTTCTTAGGGGAAATCAAAATGGTTGTTGAGGGACACCCTCCTCCCCCTTTAGATGTATTTCAGCTAACAAATGAAGAAAAATGAGCTCTGGCCAGGTGGCTCAGTTGGTTGGAGCATCGTCCCATAACCCAAAAAGTTGTGGGTTCGATTCCGGGTCAGGGCACATGCCCAGGATGATGGTCAGGGTGCGTGCAGGGGGCAACCTATTCATGTTTCTCTCACAGTGATGTTTCTCTCACACCAGTGCCTCTCTCTCTCTCTTTCCCTTCCCCTCTCTCTAAAAAATATCAATAAAAACATATCCTCAGGTGAGGATTAAAAAAAAAAAGAAGGCACGAGAGCATTACAATCTCTCCATTTTGCAACCCCCAATGAACTAACAAATCTAAACAATCAATGATCACAGTGGCTGCAACCATCAGAAAAAGAGACAATTGAACATTATGAGTCTCTTGATGGAAGAAAACACCACCACCTATGAAAAAGTCTTGCTAAAATACCAACCCGAAACCAGAGCAAGCCTCTAGATCTAACTCCTAGAGTGCAGCATATGTAGGGGACAAAGGGACCTGTTAGGTGACAACACAGAGACAATCAGTAAAATTCAAGATGTGGGAAAACTATAGGACAAATGATCTGGCTTCTTCAACAAGTCCACGCAGGCAGGATAACAAAAAGAGGGAAGAGGGCCTATAGACTAAGGGCCTTAGGAAACAAAACCACCAGAAGTGGACCTTGTTTGGACCCAGGTTGGAAGAAATCAACTGGAAAAACAAAAACAAAAAAGATGCGGGATATTTGAACACTTACCAATTATTTGATAGAGAATTATTTGGGAGTGCTGGTACAATGGTGGCATTTTAGTTTATTTTTATTTTTTTCATGCTTCATCTGGTTTTATTAAATTTTTTAAATTGAATTTATTGGAGTGATAATGTTAATAAAATTATACAGGTTTCAGGCGTACAATTATGTAACATCATCTGTATATTGTATTGTGTGTTCACCTCCCCAAGTCAAGTCCCCTTCTTCCCTCACCATTCATCCCCACATACCTTCTTCCACCCACCTCAAACCCCTTTCCCTCTGGTCATCACCATAGTGTTGTCTGTATCTATGAGTTTTGTTTTGCTTAATCCCTTCACTTTTTTGACCCAGCCCACAACTTCCTTCCCTCTGACAGCTGTCAGTCTATTCTCTATGAGTCTGTTTTCTTTTTTTAAAAAGTCTTTATTTTTTAGAGATTTACAGTGAAATATTTAACTTTGACAAATAAGGTATCTCAGATTTTCAAAATAATCAAGCTGGGGGTAGGTGGGGGTATTACTGAAATAAACATGGCCCTGATTTGCTATCGCTGGTATGGATGGCAGTTTTGTATACTGCTTTTGTGTATGTTTGAAATTTTTCATACTAATAGTTTTGAAAAATCTAACTTCTAAAAATATCTTTGTGTCCTAACTTAGGTGAAACATAGACATATATGGGAGTAGTTCATTCTAAAGCAGTGTTTCCCAACTTTTTTATTACTACCCCATAAGGAGCCCTTTAAAAGACATTTTTTCATTAATTCCCCCCCCCACACCCATGGAATGTTAACACCACATAAACATATAGTTAATGCAGAAATGGAAACAATCTCATGTTCATCAACAGGAAAATGCATAAACTGTCACAAACTTGTGCAATAGAATACTGCACACAAGAGAAAAGGAATGCACTGGAGCCACAGAGATAAACACTACTTGCAGAAGGACATGCTCAGTTCATGCCTCTTGGGTTAAGGTTAAAAACCTAGCCCAGCCGGATGTAGCTAAGTGGTTGAGCTTTGACCTAGGAACAAAGTGATCATGGTTTGATTCCCAGTCAGGGCACATGCCTGGGTTGCGGGCTCGATCCCCAGTAGGGCTGTGTAGGAGGCAGCTGATTGATGATGTTTTTCTCATATCAATGTTTCTATTTCTCTCACTCCCTTCCTCTCTCTCTAAAAATCAATAAAAACATATTTGAAACCCCCCCAAAAACCTATAGAACAATGCTTGCTCCTAGTGCTTGCAGATGCATACCCATAATACAAGAAGGAAAACATGCCCAGGAAGGATGTGTAGCATGCTGCAGGAGTGTGGGACCTCCAGAGAGCGTGAGGAGGCAGGGGCTTCAATCGTGCCTGTGATGTTTTCTTAAGCAGTGGGCATGCAAGTGATTGCTATGTTGTTCCCTATACTTTTTTTCAATTAAAAAAAGTAAAGAGTTCACCTTATATTCCCAGAGATTTTGGGGGGGCTTCACGCCCAGTGCTTTGACACGCTCCAATTCCATGAGGATGGCTCTCCTGTGGCTGCTGTTTTCTATGGTGTATGGCACTCTTGAAAATTCTTCCTCTGTCAAGGTTAAAAGCAATCTGTGATGGGGAAAGGAACAGGAGAATTATTTTGAGGTTGTGTACTGGAAGCAAACTTTCCACAGAGTTTCATTTTATCAACACAAATACTTTAGCCTAGAGGTAAGACACTTAATATATGAAATACTATTAATGACAGCAAACAATTGACTGTTTACTATTTGCCAGTGACTTTCCGAAAATACTTTCATAAATCATCACTGAACCATTTGACAATTCTGTAGGGTAGGTGGCCTTATGCCCAATTCGTGGATGAAAAAACTGTCTTAGAGAAATAAAGTGACCTACCCAAGGCACACCCAGGTCTGCTTTGCTCCTAACCTTTGATCTTTCAGCTATGCACTTTGACCTCTCACATTACTCTGCTTTTTAAAGTGTGTGTGTAGCCCTGGCTGGTGTGGCTCAGTTGGTTGGAACGTTGTCGTGTGCACCAAAGGGCTGCAAGTTTAATTCCCAGTCAGGGCACATGCCCAGGCTGTGTGTTTGATCCCCAGGTGGGGCCTGTATGGGAGGCCACCGATCAATGTTTCTCTCTCACATCGATGTTTCTCCCCCCCCCCCAAAATCAGTAAGTGCAGCCTGTGTGGCTCAGTAGTTGAGCATTGACCTATGTACCAGGAGGTCATGGTTCGATTCCTAGTCAGGGCACAAACCCGGGTTGCAGGCTTGATCTCCAGTACGGGGCATGCAGGAGGCAGCCAATCAATGACTCTCTCATCATTGATGTTTCTCTCTCTCTCCCCCTTTCCCTTCCTCTCTCTGAAATCAATAAAAACATATTTAAAAATAAAAAATAATAATCAATAAAAACATATCCTCAAGTGAGGATTTAAAAAATTCTGAATAAATAAAGTATGTGTGTGTGTACAGGAAAAAAGTTGGAAAGAAAGCCAATAAAACATTATGGCATTATAAGTAGTTTTGGGATAGTGATTTAATAAAAATAATTGCAGATCTCTAATCTGTTCTCTTTCATCAGAAAACACATATCCACCTCCACAGTGATTTGTTGTAAAAACATCCCTGTGCACTAGCAGATGAGTCCACTACAACCACTGTTGGAGGAATGTACACTGATGCCCTTTTGTGGGTAATATTTATTAATTTGGTGATATTTATTTAAGTGGTAAAGGTTTACTCCCTTTGATTTAGCAATTCCAGTTTTAGGAATCTATCCTCCAGAAGAAACAAAATTATGCGAAGACATGTTGTATTAACTAGGTAGAGAATTTTTTTTTAAAAAACCACAATTGTGGGCTGGGGAGGGGGGCACACTAATTTTTACAAAAAACATCAGACGATTACAGTGGGTGCATTCTGTTTCCACAAAGGAGAGTCAGAAAGCTCAGTTCAGGTGGGTAAAGTGACTGGGGTGGAGGTAGGACAGTCAGGCAACCTGACAGTGAGTGGACTCCAAGTCTGAAACAAGCAGCTACTCCCGGCACTGCGTAGTGTTCTAAGTAACTTCCTTACACTGTTCCTCCAAGGAAGGGAGGGACCCCAATAAAGACGGACAGTGCTCTGGAAGGGGCAGGGGTTTGTTGACAGAAGCAGGCCTCCTTAGAGCCCAGCGACTGGTGAGTTCTTCATACTAATGAGTTTCTTCAGGTACTTCCTATACAGTGTTGTGTGAAACTGTCTAGAAAAGGAAATAACCCAAATGTGTTTTGGTAGGGATCAGTTAAGTAGACTCTAGCATATACACATACATACATATGCACACATATGTGCCTACATGTACATATACATAAATATGTACACACAGACACATACAGACACAGGTCTGCTTAGTACAACTGTATTTTCAGTTTAAATAAGTAATACACATTGCAATGTGTTATGTCTGTATATACATTTTAAAAAATCTGGAAATGTATCCAGGTAGATAACAGTGGTATTCTCTGAAGAGTAGGATTCCAAGGGTATTTCATTCTGAATATCCTTTAGTTCTATGTTATTATTTTCAAATAAATAATAAACATGTTACTTTTATAATCAGGGAGCAACAAATTAAAATGTCAGCAACATAAAATGGTATGGCTACTTTGGAAAACAGTTTGGCAATTCCTCAAAAAGTTAAACATAGAGTTACCACATGACCCAGCAATTCCACTCCAAGAGAGTACTGAAGTACATGCCCACACAAAAACTTGTACACACATGATCACAGCAACATCATTCATAATACACAAACTGGAATCAACCCAAATGTCCATCAACTGAAGAATAGATAAAATGTGGTATAGCCACAAAACAAGAGTATTATTCAGGCACAAAAAAGAATGAAGTAGCACATGTTACAACTTGGGTGAACCCTGATGACGTGATGCTAAGTGAAAAAGCCAGACACAAAAGGCCACATATGGTATGATTTCCACTTATATGAAATACTCTGAACAGACAAATCCACAGGGACAGAAAGTAGAATGGTGGTGCATGGAGCAGAGTGGGGAAAAACAAGGATTGACTGCTAAAGGGTAAAAGCTTTCTTTTGGGGGGCGATGAAAATGTTCTAAAACTAGGTTGTGGTGATGGCTGCACATATCTGCGAATACATTAAAAACCACTGATTGTACACTTTAAGTGGTAAATTTTCTGGTATGTAAATTACACCTCAATATAGCTGTTTCTAAAAATGCCAGTGAAGTGTCAAAGATTTTGCTCCTCACCTTCCATTTACTCTTTCGGATAAAAACCTGTCTCTGTAGAGAGAGGCCCAAGGGCCCAGCTGCTCCAGCCAGAGGACAACTTCTTCCGCTGTCCATTTGGCCACAGCCTTGTGGACCAGGAGGTCATGCTCAGATTCCCTGCTGCTCCAGTGATACACGAGCAGGACCACCTGGGGAAAAGCGACAGGGATTTCAAGACACAGAAAAGTCAGAGATGCCAGTTTCTAAATATGTGAATGTGGGGCAGGGAAGGGAAGAGGCTGAGCTTGAAGGGAATGGTGCCAAGTCTATACATAGAAGCAGGGCAACGCCACTGCCAGAGAACAGGGGAGCACAACTCGGCAGGCTCAACTGTGCACACTGTTCTGCTGTGAGGGAACAGAGACAAGAGCAGGACTCATCACAGGGCACCTGGGAACACTGCACCCATGACCCCATCAACCTGGTCAACAGGACTAACTCATATGCCTTTTCTATTGAAAAATTTGTAACATTTAGATTTCTGTAGCATGGAACTTAAAGGAAATAGTCTTTACATTGGAAGATAGTAAAGTGCTGTGCTCAAGACTCTATCATCAAGGCAGACATGGCCTCAAATTCTAGTTCTATCACCTACTTTCTCATCTGTAAAATGGGAGAAAAATGAAATGAGAGAAAGCTAACATTTACTGGGCTCTGACTATTATGTTGTCTACTTGAGTAAGCAACATCCCCCCAAAATCATACAACCCAGCAGATTTCAATGTATGCAATGAATTACCACAAGCAACCAGTCATCAATCATTTAGGTGTATTTCAACAGAACTGACTTCAGTAGAAATTGTGGGAGGGTGGGGGATAGAGAGAAAAAGTAATAAACTTACTGCCACACCAGTTAAAGCTGTGAGCACTCCTGAAAAGAATCCCCCTCCTCTTTGCTGATTCACTCGGCCTGTGTTGGGAGCTAAAGGAATTTGATCATTCCCGTATTTCTGAAAGGCTGCAAGACTCTGGACTATGTCATTATTCTGCTGAATGTCTTCAAATCTCATTCTAATGGCATCAGGAAATAATTTTTCAATGGCATCCCTGCAGAGAACAGGAAAAAAAAAAATCACAAGAAAGTTGTTTTACTAAATATACTTGAAATGTTTAAACTTTAGAACTATACAGATACAATACCACTGATATGAGAAAATGTTTGCATTTCCTACTGGCACATATATACATAAAATATTTTTTTAAATCTGAAAGAAGCCCGGTTGGGCATGGCTCAGTGGTTAAGCATCGACCTAGGATCCAGGAGATCAAAGTTCGATTCCTGGTCAGGGCACATGCCTGGGTTGGGGGCTTGATAGCCAGTCGGGGGTGTGCAGGAGGCAGCCAATCAAGGACACTCTCATCATTGATGTTTCTCTCTCTCTCTCTCTCTCTCTCTCTCTCTCTCTCTCTTTCTCTTCCTCTCTTTGATATCAATAAAAGATACATTAAAAAAATAATAAATAAATAAAATCTGAAAGAAATCACAACTAAGTCATAACTGAAGTTACTCTGAGACAAAGGAAGAAGGGATTGTAAGATCGGGAGGGGTCAAAGGGATCTTTAGCTTTATCAGTAATGCTCTAATATTGTAAAAAGACTGTAAACAAATGAATGTGTGTGTGTGTATATATATATTGCTTAGGTAATTAAAAATTAATTTGTGCCCTGGCTGGGTAGCTCAGGTGGCTAGAGCATTGTCCTGATACACCAAGGTCAAGGGTTCTATACTTGGTCAGGGCACATACAATCAATCAGTGAATGCATAGATAAGTGGAACAACAAATCAATGTTTCTCTCTCTCCCCCTCTCTCAAATCAATTAAAAAAATTAATTTGTAAAAAGGAAAAAAAAGTGAAGTTGAATAGTAAGAGAAAAGATCAACCATCACACCATACTGTAGGGTTCTTCTCATTTTCAATTACACAGAATCAGAGAACCCTCCTTCAATTTAAGATTAACCTTCAGGTAAAACAAGGCAAACAGGTAAAAGCAAAGTGTTTGTAAATATATCTCCTGTGAAAAAGAGAATGTTGGGTTAATGTTTTCATGGAACTTTGGGGTACTCTTTTGGGGAACTTCTTGATACCAAGAAGACAACAGAAGAAGTGACAAGGAATTTAGTCTCAAAGACCTCATAATAAGCAATATTCCCAAAGAACTTTAAACATTACAAACATTATGAATGGAAAAGCCTGCTATCTGAAAGGTCTTGCCATTTGTTGTGTGATGCTATCTATGCATGAGAACCTACCCCAGTTAATGTGATAGCTGGCACAGGGTTTAGTCAAAGACCATGAAAATCAGCAGCATACCTGTTATTCAGAATTGTACAGTTATACAATTTTCCTCATTAGACCTACGGTATTCTTAGTGAATATAAATCAATAGAAAGTATTATATGGCAAAGGATTACAAGCAATGGTCTGATAACCAGAATTTCTGTTATTTATAGTAAATAATAAAGAAATCAGAGTCACCTATGAGGAAGAGAGTCTGGATTTTCAGGTCCTTGAGCTCCCTCATTCACATTCCAGCAGATCCAGAATGACTATGGTAGAGGTGAGCTCTGTGCCTCTCACCTTTTCAAACATGGCTGTACCACTAAGAGAAACCACATCTGCCCAGCCAGCGTGGCTCAGTGGTTGAGCATTGACCTATGATCCAGGAGATCGTGGTTCGATTCTCTGGTCAGGGCACATGCCCAGGTTGTGGGCTCGATCCCCGGTGGGAGGTGTGAAGGAGGTGGCTGATTAATAACTCTCTCTCATCATTGACGTTTCTATCTCTTTCTCTCCCTCTCCCTTCCTCTCTCTGAAATCAATAAAGATATATTTTAAAAAGAAAAGAGAAACCATATCCAGCAAGCCACATGTGCTACCAATATGGACTGAGCATACCTGAGGAGAATATTGACTTTGGGGAAACCTTCCCATTTTTCTCTGCATTCTGGACACTCTGTTTTCTTCGAAGAGGTCCACCATAAAGCTAGGCAGTGTCGGCAGAAGCTGTGCCCACAGTTCAAGGTGGTGGGGTTAATCAGGATGTCATAACAGCAGTGGCAAGAAAATTCACTGACAGAAATCTGAGGGCTGGTGCTCTTGGGAGTGTCATCTTTCTCAAGGGTCATCGTGTTCAGGTCATTTTGCTGAGACTCCATCTCAGCAAATTCTGAGATCCACAGGCATAGAAAATTTCAGACTTAGAAAAGTGCAGCAAAGCATCATTAAATCTAGAAAAGAGACAGCAGAAATAGGACAAACAGTTTAGTAGGTATTTGAGATTACTGCCATTCAATTAAAGCTAATTTTTAAATGTGACAAATATGACTTCTAAAAATTCACATTTTAAAAACCAGATAAACAGTACTGAATTTCTTTCTGGCCTATTTGTCTTACTTTTGAAAAACAGGGAAAGCAAAATAGTGTAGTGGAAAATTTAATAGACCTGGGAGATGGTGTGGAGAATTCTATATCCTACTCTTTCACTAACTTCTTCTGAAAATGTTAATTTCTCTGGCCTCAGTTTTCTCAATTAAAATCCTTTCAGTGGGTGTGATTTTAAGTAAACAAGCTTGTTAGCCCAGGAAAATGTTTGGAGTTGGCAATAACAGATGTATTTCATGTAAATAACATATTTTATCCAAACAAATCTGCCTTTCCATTAGGTAATTTCATATTTCATAAACATTTGACTTCAGAGGCTCCCACAGGAGCAGTTCCAGGAAGTGAGTGAAGCCTTGTTTTTGAGGTGCCCTGTGCCAGATCAACTCCCCATGGCTCAATATTACCCTTTCCCCCAAATCAACCCAAACATGCAAATCATGCCCTCTGGTTCCAGCCAATTTGGTGCCAGAGAAATATGCTAATATCACTAATATGCAAATGGCAAAGGACTATTCTCATTCTCAGCTCGGTCTTGGGAGATTTTTTTATTAAGAGGCAGTATGATGGAGAATAGCAGAGTTAGAATCTCAACTCTCCAACTCACTAGCTCTGTGACTGTGCATAAGTTACATGAGCTCCCTGAGCCTTTTTCTCAACTGTGAAATGATGGTAATAGTACAAAACCTTCAAGACTTCCTATGAGGATTAGAGACAGTGAGAGTAAAGTGGCTAGGATGGTGTGTGGTGTAAACAGGGGCTGAAGAAATTATTTATACTGTTCCTGGTATTATCACAGTGCAGGCATTAGCAGGTGATTTCTCAATGTTGCTACTGTGAAAGGAAAATAAGTAAATCACTCTCCGTCACCCACACTAGTCACACAGAGAAGAGCTCTGTTCGTGCTTTGCAGGCACAGTGGTTAAGAACACAGGTCCCAGGACTAGGCTGCCTGGGTTCTTACCCCTCCCCTGCCCTTCACCAGCAGTGTGGTCTGGACTTCTTTGAGTCTCAGCTTTCTCATGTATAAATGGGGGTGGTAATAGTATTTACCCCATCAGGAGGTGTGTTATTTTTTTTTTAAGGTTCCAAGAATTTTTATGACCACTTGAAGAGCAGAAGAGTCCATATAAACCTTAGACTATGGGCCACTCTGTATCACTGAATCAATCTTTTAAAAAAAAATTATTTTTCACTTTTTTTAAAAATTAATTTTCAGTTACAACTGACATGAATATTATATTTGTTTCAGGTATCCATTGGGAGGTTTTAAGAATGAAATAAAAGAATGCAAGTATAATGCCTAGTAGAGAGCCTGGCATATGACAATTTACCTGATTTTCAAATGCAGTAGTAAGAGAATTTTATTACTTTTTTTTTTTTAAAGTATATCTTTATTGATTCCAGAGAGAGGAAAGGAAAGGGAGAGAGAGAGATAGAAACATCAATGATGAGAGATTCATTGATCGAGCCCACAATCCGGGCATGTGCCCCGACCGGGAATTGAACCCTGACTGCCTGGATCCCAGGTCAACGCTCAACTGCTGAGCCACACCCAGCCGGGCTATAGGGTGAAAATTTTTACATAGAGCATGATAACAGAGTATTTTAAATAAGCAAATATATAAACAAAGACTAGAAGAAAATACAATGAGAGCTGCAGAATATGCATTCTCCTCAAGTCCACATGGAACATTCTCAAGGATAGACCACGTAAGAACACAAAACAAGTCTCTACATAAATTCAAGAAGACTGAAATCATATCAAGCCTGGCCAGTGTGGCTCAGCTGTTGAGCATCAACCTACGATCTAGGAGATGGAGGTTTGATTCCTGGTCAGGGCACATGCCTGGGTTGTCAGCTCTGTCCCCAGCGGGGGATGTGCATAAGGTAGCCGATCAATGACTCTCTCTTGTCATTGATGTTTCTCTCTTTCTCCCTCTCCCATCCTCTCCTTGAAATCAATAAAGACATATATATATAAAAGAAACATATAAAGCATCTTCTCAGAAATTTACACCATGAAATACTAGGCAGCTATAAAAATGAAGGATCCCTTACCCTTTGAGACAGCATGGTGGGACCTGGAGAGTATTATGTTAAGTGAAATAAGCCAGTCAGAGAAACATAAGTACCACATGATCTTACTCACATGTGGTATCTAATGAACAAAATAGATTCAGAGACCTAGAAGCATGGGACAGACTGATGAATCTCAGAGGGGAGGCGGGGGTGAGTGGGGAGAGATTGACCTAAGAACTTATATGCATACATGCATGCATAACCCATGGACAAATAATGTGGTGAAGGCCTGAGGGGAGGGGATCAATGGAAAAAAGGGGACATTTGTAATACTTTCAATAATTTAAAAAAAAAAAAAGGAAAATACAATAAAGTATTGGCCTAACACCAATGGGAGATTTTCAACTCAGAGAATAAACAGAACTAAATTTCAAACTTGGTGTTAATTTAAATATATATTTAAAGTAATTGTTATTCATAACAGGTGGTAATAAAGAGGGGAACAACCTTTTTGTATAGGCCCATTAAAAACAGTTCTTCTTGGAAGAAAGAGTCTAAATAAATGTTCTTAATGACACGTTCTAAATTATTTCTGATAAACACATTTGCTCATTACCTGTATGTTTAGGAACATTTAAAACAATTTCTAAGTGCTTTACTCTGGGCAGTCTCTTCAAATTGCTAAGGAAGTAAGAGATCTTATATATAGGTTTCTAGAAAAAGAAATAATTTTGAGTAGTCCCTTTATTTGGTTAATAGTTATTAAACTACTATGTGGACAGTATTACCTGAGGAAGTAACTGAAACACTGCTATTTACTGAACATCTGAGCTTGGACACTGGGCAGGCCCTTTAGGTACATTCATGATCACATCTGGATTTAGTGTCAAAGGAAAGACACAAGACTTCCAGTGAGGGTTGGGCAAGGGGTTAGAAAAGATGGGCCTGACGTGGGGAGCAGTGAGTGACATAGGAGATACAGGTTTGATACAGGGTCTTACTTGCCTGGTTAATGACAGGTGGGCCAATGGGATCACACAAAGAAAGGTTTCAGAGGCAATGAGATCAGCACTACTGTGCTTTAGGATGATAACTCTCATCAGGGAAGAGGGCTAGGCTGGGACAAGAGCTAAAACTAAGGTGACAAAAATGAAAATGACAAAGAAATGGAAGTGGTAAAAGAAAGGGATCAAGCTATCCAAAAGTTTTAAAGAAAATAATTTATGGGCTCAGAGTGTTGTCCAGATACACCAAGGTTGCAGGTTCAGTCTCAGGTCAGGGCACATACAAGAGGCAACCGGTGAATGCATGAATAAGTGGAACAACAAACTGTCGTTTCTCTCTCTCTCTATTCCTCTTTAAAATCAATAAATATTAAAAAAAGAATAATAGCATTTCTAAAAATAATAATTTATGGGCTTTGGTGTCTAGAGAGAAAGATCCAAGATGCTGGCTAGGTTTTAGAACTGGGGAAGAACAGTACATCTGACAGAAGTGGGTCACTGTAAACAAACTGGGACAACCTTAGAAAGGTTAGTTGAATTTTAGAAAAGTTGAGTTTGAGGTGATGTACAACTGTCTAGTAAGCAACTGGAGACACACACAGAAGTTGGGAGCTAAGAATGAGGCGAAGTATGTGGATTTTAGTCATTTGTAGAGAAATGATATCATATATTGAAGTTAATTTCTCACAAATTAGCCTTTTAAAACTAGAATGCACCAGTAGTTCCTAGCTAACCAGATCCGAAAGTTTGTTTTTCATGAGAGAAAACAAATCACCCACTGCTATCAAATGTGTTTGTTTTTTAAAATATATATATTTTTATTGATTTCAGAGAGAGGAAGGAAAAGAGAGAGAGATAGAAACATCAATGATGAGAGTCACTGATTGGCTGCCTCCTGCACGCCCCTGACTGGGGATCGAGCCCACAACCCGGGCATGTGCCCTGACCGGGAATCGAACCATGATCTCCTGGATCCTAGGTTGATGCTCAACCGATGAGCCACATCCAGTGGGGCTCAAATGTGTATTTTAAGTCATATTTTGAAAAACTGAGGTGGCCACTAACTCTGTTTTATAATTGTCTTCAACAAACTAAAAACTGCATGGACTTTGATTATGTCTTAGGAATTTGGCTAGTTTCATTTTACCCTAAATTCAAAACGTGAAAGCTAACAGAAAGAATACACATCTCAACCAAATTCAGTTGAACTTTTCTGTTATTTCTACCTGTATGTATTTGGGTTATTTCCATTAAAAAAAAGCACTACTTTTAAAGGACAAAAATGCCTCTTCAGTGAGAAAATGGAGCTCAGACACTAAAGTTCCCAGCTGTGGTGTTCTGACTTGGGTAAACACACCCTCCTTCACTGGCAGTGAGTAAAGGTCTCTTTGAGGAGAAGGCTCAGTGTTCCAGAGGATGTTTATAGCTGTTCTTGGCACATTCATCAGCAGGTTGGAGCTGTGAGGTTCCTGGCTCTTTCTGAGCTCCTTCACAAGCAAGCACGTGCTAGAACATTCCCGTAGCCTCCTGGTCTTTCCCCCTTGTCTCAAAGCCCTTAGGGAGGACTGGGGGGACTGGGGAGGATTGGGGCAAGGAGAGTCATTCCATTCCCAACCCTAGTGGCCCATTCAAATGGATACACTTTGGTTTATGTTTAGTCATCACATGAAATTATAAGTGTTAATTACCTAGTTCAAAACTAATGGGAAGAATGCCTGAGTTTGGAAAAGTCTGCCAAACTGCAGAGACAAGTTTAAACCCATAGGTTGCCCGACAAGCATGGCTCGATCCCCAGTTGGGGGCATGCAGGAGGCAGCCGATCA